CCCCCCCCCGCCAGCCCCTGACCCTCCATCCCGCAGGGTTTCTCCCGGCTGCCCCTGGTCACTCAGTACACGCTGCGGAAACAGCCCTACAACAACCTCAAGCACAAGTTCCCCTGGCTGTCAGAGGCCGGGCTGCGGCTCCTCAACTTCCTCTTCATGTATGATCCCAAGAAACGGTAAGAGCCCAGGGCAGGAGCTGGGTGGGGGGGGAAGCTGCACCCCACAGGGCTGCCTGCATCACCCCCTTGGGCTGTGCCTGCCACGTCCCCCCATCCCCGCAGGGCGACAGCAAAGGACTGCCTGGAGAGCTCCTACTTCAAGGAGAAGCCCTTGCGTGAGTAACCCCAGGCTGGGGCAAGGCTGGGCAGCTCTGAGCACTACTGACTCCCCATCTCTGCCCCCCAGCCTGCGAGCCAGAGCTCATGCCCACCTTCCCCCACCACCGCAACAAGCGGGCAGCCACCAGCAGCGCGGCGACCGAGAGCCAGGCCAAGCGTGGCAAGCCCTGAGCTGGGGGAGGCAGAGCAAGGCGGGCTCTGTCCCCTCTGGGGATGGCTCGTACATTCATGTCCCCTCCCCACTGCAGCATGGGGACAGCCCGGCTGTGGCAGGGAGCACTGCTGCCCACAGCTTCAGCCCCGGAGCTGTACAGGGGCAGGAGAGAAGAGAGAAGGGGCCAGGCCCCCCCCCCAGGGCACAGCAGGGAGAGATGGGGGTACTAAGGGGGCCCCTCAACTGGCCGGGGGTCACCCCAAGTTTGCTGTCAATAAAAGCAGCTGCCAGCAGCAGTGAGCAGTGACTTGTCTCGTCCCTCAGCCAGGGAAGTCCCAGCCCTTCCTGCCATGCATCTGGGGCCAAGGATACCCCAAAAACTGGCCTCAGGGGGACTGAGCTCCCCTTTCCCCAACGTGCTGTGGTGTTGGATGGCACCACTGGCCCTGTCCCTTCCCCTGAGCACAAGGAGACCACCACATCATGAGGCAGCAGCACTTTACTGGGATGCACCAAGCCAGTTCGAGGGGGAACACGGGGCTGGAGCCCAACACCGGCCCCACCACCATGTTCTGGTGTCCCTGGGGTGGGTGTTTCCCCATCCTGCGACGGGCACAGCTAGCAGCAGCCCCCCGGGGGGGGGCTAGGAGTGGAGTGTGGTGCTGTCAGCCAGCAGCATGTCCAGCTCTGTCCGCTGCCGCCAGAGGCGCTGCCGGCCCTCCCACCGCAGCTGCC